AGCGTAAAGTCTGCGGTTTTAAGAGGAATTAAATGTTCGATAATCAATAATAAAATGATGATACCTCCGATATGCCGAATCATTGAAATGTAAACGATCAAGATTATGAAGTATTTGTTAACATTTTTTTATTATTTTATATTATGATAACATAATCTGTGATTATAACAAACTGTGTGGTCTTCCTTCAGACGTAAATTAAATCATTTAACTGTACGTTTTTTTTAAACTATTGCAATAGATTTAAATGTCTCCTCCCGTAAAACTAGAATTTTACAATTATCGGAAAAAAGTCTTCAGGCGTGGAAAGTCACCTGCTTATTAAAAGCACGTTATGGCCCTAGAAATGAATATGATTTCCTATGTTTTAATAATGAAGATGACAATCAGTGGAAGTAAGAAGAGCTACGTGTGGCATTATGTGTCATAAAGAAAGCAAAACGTAAACAAACTGGTATTTTGACTTGCATACAAAATATTTATCACTTATATAAATAACTTAACTAATTGCCACGAAGCAAAAGATGGTTCAAATTGGCTATGAGCGTATATAGTTAATAAGTATTTAAAAGATGAAACAGGACGAAAAAACTTTTTGAGAAAAGTAAAAAAAGCATTTTTGGGGCTTACTAGGTATCTAAGAGAGCAAAGGTTCCAACAGAAATATTATTTCTGCTTTCGTATCAAAACGGACAGATCTACTTATATTACCACAATACAGCTTTGAGGTGAAATAAAAGGTATTGAAAACTCTTAGAAATGTATTAGTTCACCAACGATTGTCTGAAAGATTAATTGATGACTCGGGTAACAGAAATTCACTTAAACCTCAGAATATTTTATTCCCACCTGTTCGAATCGAAACACTTGTTGGCACAGGTTTCTAAAGATTAGCACTAAATCCACTCCAGTATTCTTTTAATGTACTAAACAATCTAAATTACTTTCCTTGATATGAACAATTTCCCAGACTGAGGGCGGTGCCTCGATTTGAACTGAAGCCGCTCAAACATACAGACCTACAGTAAAGTTAATTACTCTGTGATTCGAAACAAAATTTATATGAATTTGTATGCTAGCTTTGAGCATGACATAAACAACTATATACTCTATAAAACAGTGATTCCTCGTAAATAATGTTATATTATATCTACAGAATGTCTGTATTAGAGTGTAATCAGCAATATGCTTTAGGTTAATGTAGCTTTATGTATATTTTATCGTCTGTTATCACACCCAGGTGTTCGATACTCAATGCCAGCATTTTCTATTCAAGAGTGCTTCAAACATCCTAATTTTTTGTTCGATTAAAGAGAATCAAACCCTATTGTTTTGAGACTGTTAAATTTAAATTTATCGGCATTGACATTACTGTTAAATAATGATTTTTTGGCAATGAAACTGAGCACAACAGATTTAAAGACAAGGATTTTATTTCATACACTTGAGGATTTCTTATAACAACAAAATGATACATCATAAGAAATAATATACGTAGTTTAAAGGAGCACGTTTCTATATTATTGCCTGTTTCTTTGAAGATATAAAATTATTATAATTTATAATGTCGTCAATTGAACAAGTGGAGTAAATTGAATTTGATTTATAGTAAGACTGTCCATCCTCATAAAGTACCTAAGATGTGACAAAATATAAGTTAACAACAACAACAACAAGATAATTGAACACAAAGTTGTATTAAACGTGTTGAGGCATACAGATCGAACACACCGGGCTTTTGGGGCAATTATGTTTTTTGTAACCTCGAACAACAAAAGGTGGCCCGAATTGCACACCATACATTTTGCATGTAAGAAAAATACAACTACGGCGAAAATAAAAGTTACGGTAGTTAGTTTATTATTTTATGGTTTATTTGTTGCAAGTCAACAACAGACCTACTGTTGACCCTTTCCCGCTCTGATGTTTAGTTTCGAGCAAACAGCAGACGATAATAAGTTAACGCTAGTTTATCACGGCACACCTGGGCAAGCCACCTGTTCGTATTTTAAGGCTTTTGACAGAATATCAATCGATTGCCTGTATATATCACATATAATACTTAATAACGCGGATTTTTGAGGGGACATTCTGTAATATTTGTGAACGTTTAACAGTTTATTAACTTTGTGAAAACAGTTTTGACATTTGTAAAAGTCATTTCTTTGCAAAACACGATCCATAAGAGTAATTTACTCCTTCCTTTTGAACGCGAAGTAGTCACCTCTTTGGTCGGAAAATCAAAATAATATAAAACTTATAATAAAGAATAAGGCCGCTATTCCATTTATACGTGATCAGTGGTCCGCGTCCGTCATCCGCATCCGTTACCGATTCGCTAATCAAAGAATACGTTGAATCTATTCCTTTTGTCCGTTTACCATCCGCTTCCGCGACTGCACCCGCGACGTTTCGCAGGATGAGCGATTTTTTACGGACGCGGACAGTCACTGACATGTCTCATCCCTACAAAGTGCCTCGAACGAAATTAAATACTTTATCGATTTCGAAAGAAAATACTAAAGAAGTCACCAAAATAGTGTAGGAGAACATATAAGTTTATGATGCAGCAATGACAGATTAAAAAAAAACAACATCTGGTCATCCGTTGCTAAAGAGATGTTATTTGAAAACCTAACTGATATTCAATGTTTGTTACCTAATTCTTTGATGTTACACCTGTTTTTGGTATTAGAATGAAATTATATCATATTCTACAAATAATTATCCTCTGTTCGCTATACTTCAATTAAAAATATATAGAAAATAACGTACCTATGGAATAATACCCACGGACATGCCCGGACACGGATCACTGACGCGGACCACTGATCACGTATAAATGGAATAGCGGCCTAACACCATTGCTTTAAGTGTACGTGAGCCCATTTCTTGTTTTAGATAAACTTCACTTGCGTGCCGACGAATAAACATCTGTGAGAAGAAAACAACCCCAAAACAACAACAACAAACGTTATCAAAATTACTGTGCCATAGTTTCCATTCTGTATAAAAAAGATGACTTCAAACTTAATGAAAAGAAAGACTTGAACCAGAATCTATATAAGTAGCCAGTAGTCTTTGAGAACGCGGTAGTGATTCTAAAATTAACCGTGGGATCCGCCGTGTCGAAATTCCAGTTGTCAACATGTAACTTATGATAGTATTATAGGAGTAATTAGTAGAACAATATCGGGGTATGATAAAGTATCTACGTATCAATCTAATTACAAGAACATTGTCATGTCGATATTTATAGGCCGTAAAATGACAGTATCAGATCGCGCTTTTCAACGGGTCACTGCTTAATTATTTCTTATTGACAAACACATTATTGCAGGCTGATGTTAAGATAGACTGCGTTTTTATACTTTGATATTTAAAAAACCTATCTTTTCCTGTGACATTTCAAAGAAAGAAATTCCAGAGAGTTCTATTTCACGAGATTATTATTCTATTGTCATGTAATTGTATTATATGTATGGAAGAGGAACGCACGTTCTATTCCTTATTGTGATAAAATCTGTAATATTCTGTTGTTATCATACTTAACTTGGAATATTTGAGGTGAAAGATCTAACTTTAGGTTGTCTGAGGTTATGCACGCATAGGTAATTGTATAAGTTAAAGAATTAGCATTTCTGAAATTTTCTACATTATTAAATCATTATGTAGTAAAAAAGATGCAATGACAATATTAATGTGATGACGTATGTAAGGAATAATATGAAAACACAATGTGTTGGTTCTTCAAAAATCTTACTTATAATGTTAAAATGTCATATTATTACAGACATTAGTTCGTACCATTGGCTACAGACATATCCTCATCTTTTCTAAATATCATTCAAACGTTTTCAGGCTTTGTCCAACCGCTCTACACTGATATGCGTGATTCCAGAAGTTACGACACTAGTCTATTGTTTCTCTAGTCGTCAGAGGACGAGTTTCGTACAAGAGAGTCATGATGGTCCTAATATTGCTTACCTGAATGAAGATAGCAACTAACTTCTGTAAGTTTGAGCAATTGAGGGCTTTATCTATTAAGAAAAGTAAAAAAAAATCATACTTTTTTTTATCATGAGCGTAAACGCGTTAACTACAGTCGCATTACGTGCTCAGGCGAGTTGTCATATATACAGTTCTTTCAAAGACTTATTTTTATTACCAATTTTACGTCAATGACAATGACAACAAATTTGCTACATGCGCAAACCTGTTTTCATTATATGAAAAGTTTATGTTTAATTAGTAAAACTCGAAAATGGGCAAGCTAAATCAAGGAACCAATACACGTGGCATAATCATAAGGAACCAGGGTAGTGTTACAGTAGCAATCAAACCAACGTATTTGACCGAATACACCATAGGGGCTTGCAGTGTTGAAATAGTGTAAAAATAGTTCTCAATAATCATTAAATATGCATATTTATATGTCGATGACTTCTAATCCAGTTACCTCTGGCTTGGGTTCGATCCCCGGGAGATGCTTTGGTAGTTTAGCGCGGAGAAAGGTAGTCTAGTACTGGTGTAACTCTGCAGGAACGATGGTTAGGAAACTACCCGCCTATATGACTGAAATACTGTTGGGAAAAGGCGTAAAATGAAACAAACAAACAAAATAAGCATAATTATCTTTTTAGCAGTAAATACACAAAGGGTATGCTTTCAAGTGTTTTACCCTACCACAACAATGTATCATGCCTCTGTGACAAAACCATTACCTAATATGCACCATTTCCCATGCATTTCGACAAACATCTTTAGACGACCAGAGGGTCCTTGAATCTAGTGTAAGTTGGACAGCTAAGAGCCTTTCCGTTAAGCTGATATAAATCACTCTTGTCTCGAGCTTAGCTCAGTGACACAATGAAGAAAACAAGAAGGATTGTTATCCCATAGCAGGAGACTGAAAATCATTGCATTTCTCATAGTGTATATTATATAGTTGTATTGGTCAAGCTATATGGTCAGAGAGATGGAAGTAAATAACAATACGATTTTGTGATTTAATGATTATATTAGAAAAATATAATATAACAAGCATCCCTGGTATAAACAAAAGTAATAATTGTTTGACATTTTGCTCTTAACCAATAAATATATTGCAATTTTCAATATAAATGTTTTTAAAACATTACCTCAATGTACCAAAAACAAAAATTTGAGACGGTTAACTCTTTAAAGCATGTCATAAAATTTCAAACATTTACTTTTAAGACAAAAATAATTTTTTGACAAAAATATTTTTTTTATTTTCAATAACAAATGTTGTTTTTCTATTTTAATTCAATGTACATCTTTGTTCCAGCCAAACAAATGTGTATTTCTTTTTCTTTTTCACCAATAACAATACATGTATTTTATAAATATAAATTCAAGATCAGTTTTCAAATATTCTTGAAATATGGCCATTGCTTATTACATGCACTTAGGCACCAACCAAAGTTCAAAAGAAACTAATTTAACCCTTAACCTGCCTATTTTATGTAATGGATTCGTCAAGTTTTAAATTTGGAACAGTCTATTAGCAATGATAGGGGTTTCATTACCAAACTATCAAAACTGAGCTACCAACAGTATAAAACCTGGTCAGATCTCTACAGAATGTACAGGCTGGCCTGGTTCTATACTGGCAGCAAAGGCTAATCACGTTCTCTTACAGCAGGTCAAGGGTTAAAAGTAGGTCATGCATGGTTCAGAAAAAGTGTTTTTTTTTCTCTCATAATTTAAGACATTTATAAGAAGATGCTGAAAATTAAGGTCAAAATTGAGAGAGAAAATTTTGAATGTAGCTTCAAACCAAATCTGGTGAAAGTCTAACTATATTTTAACAAAACACATAAGTTCATTTTATGGTCCTACACTCACACAAAGTGTGTATAGATGTACCTCTAAGCCTAATATAGACACAAGTGTAAATTATTATTATCATTACAACACTACAAAGATTCAACACTACCAGAAACAAACAACAACAACAAAAGCCTGAGATTCAGAAATAAACAAAAATACTGATTAATTAAACAAACAAAAATGAAAATTAAATCAAAATGAGTTTTTAAAATAAATATCCTCAAACTTTTCCTATTTCAAAGCGGAGTACCCAATGTAAATACATCATATCATGTAAAATAAATGCAACAAAAATCTTGTTAGAAAAAAAGCACATTGCAATAAATTATTGTTAACACCCTGAATCACAGTGAAAGCTTTAAAACTGTAATTAAAATCTTAACCATGCTTAATTGGTTAAAAGGACTTGCCCTGCTTTAACTTTGGAATCTTCCATTATTAATTACAAGGGGTTTTTAATATCAAATGTTAAGCAGGCAACAGTATAGAATGTTGTCAGACTACCTCAATGTGCATTCTGACCTTGTCCTGTACTGGCTTTAGGAGAAAACGGTAAATTGTTAATAGTAGAATGGGCACAATGAAACAACAAATTCTTTTCTAAATAAAATGTCAATTTTTTTTTTAATTATGTCATGATCAAAACAGCAAAGACTTGAAAATTTTCTAATCAGAGGTTTAACATTCATTGAATATTACAATAAAATGTTGATTCTCAATGTACATGTATCATTAAAATATTTGAAAAGAAAACAAACAACCAAAAACCCTAGAAAAAATGATCAAACTATGCTTCTTTTGTTTTGTTTTTTGTCAAGCAGAACATCATATGAATATCAGGTTTGTTGGTAATTGTCTTTAACTAGTTTTTTTTTATAGATTTCAATCTCAGAAATGTTTGAGGGAAGCCATGACATGATGATGTAGCAAAATAAAAACATAACATTCTAACACCCTGTTCTACGATACTGATATACAGGATAATTGTTCAACATAGTACAATGATTGTAAAACAATCTGATATGCCATTTAGGGCAAGCACAAAATGAGGTGAAAACAAACGAGTACACAAAAAGTATTCCTTTTATTTGATAATCTTATAAACCCACATGTCATATGTTTGTACTATAGTAAAATAAACTATTGTCACTTGATATTGATAGAAGCAAAAACTGATATCCATTGTGTGGCTGGGTGATGAATAGTGGCGAGTGCAAGATAACATTCCACATGCTCGCAGCGAGATGCCCTGACGCTATATTTCTATAAAATTACAGGTTTCAATTTTCATCGTCATTGTTTTCCTGTAAAACAATACTTTCAAAAACACATAAAGAATACACTGTAACGTTTACCTCAATAAATAATGTGTTTACATTTTGATAATATCAGAGTCTGTTCATTTAAAAGATATTCAATACATATTGTATCCATCTTAAATTTCTTAAGAAAAGTAAAGGAATTCCAGTAAGCAGTATCTAATAATGACACCATCCGGGTAAACAGAGGTTTGAATTTAGAATAAACAAGCATTTGATTGACGCTGATTCAGCAAAAATGTGTATAAATATATCTATTGGGCATCACACCCTGCCTGTCATATCGAATATTTCACATTGCCCGCAATTCGGGTATATCTGGGTAATCAAATATCCTCCGGACCTATTAACATCCTTAAACTTTTCATACGGTTTTGTCCACGTACATTTAATATACCGCTCGTAATTTATTACAGATGATCTGTCGCATTGTTAAATATAGTATCAACTGCCCGAATACATAGATAATATCTCTACTGAACTCATTAACTTCAATCTACATGTCTTTTCAACCTATAAACAAAACATTAAAACCAGCTGTAATCTCAGTTACTGGTAAACACAATACCTTGTATATCTTATTATTACATGTTACATTTTATCTAAATTAGCGAAAATAAATTAAGAGTTTACTTAAAAGTAACAAGTTTGTTCTTTTTTTCTTCTTTCTTTTTTCAATTTCTTTTTTTTTCAATTGATACACTTTTAAATACAATTAATAGTACTTGAGATATGCCATATTCACTCTGATGGTACTTTGTTTTTATTAGTTTCAAAATTATTTATTTTTGATCAATTATGTGCTTTAAGCTTAATAAGAGTGCTTCCCCCATTTCAGGCACAGAAGAGTATTGACCCCGAATATCAATTGGATAGAAAGCTTGAAACCTTTATTAGAACCATTCTACATGTATAGTCTGTTTCCTGTAACCAAGCAGTACTGCTAATGTCATATCAAGAACCTTGTAATTTGTTATTTCCACAGCAGTATTCAAGCCCACAATCCCTCCATCACATAGGCAGATACATTTACAGCTAAGTTGGCTAAGCATAAGGCACTGGCGCCCCTAATATTTAACACTGTAATCAAAACGCAGTCTTAACAAAAAAATGCTCAGAAGTACAACATCTTAATTTAATGAAAATAATTGTAAAAAAAAAAATAAAATGTTTTCACAAAATGTGTCAATAATCTTTTACAGGTAAATGATGTACAGTATAATTTAAATTGTATTTGAAATAATCATTCTTATTTTATAATGTAACGTTTTATTGGTGTACAAAAAGTAACAAATTTATCAAAACAAAACACAGTTTAACTTCACTACAACTTGTTATAAAAACAATACATGATTTAATACTTGCACCATTTAAAACAAAACATGATTCTCACTTTTATATGTTATGCACAGAAAAAAAAGCTCTGCTTTTGATTATCTAGTTTGATTAAATAAATGTAAAATGCGTATGAAAAGTGTTCTTATGTTCATAGAACTAAAAACCATACAAAAATCAACAACAACAACAGCAATAACAACATCAGCAGCAAACAGAAACACCATAATGTGATGCTAGTATAAAAGTACTATTTAATTAATGCTTGATGCGAAAAGTCTTTAACTCATTTTCAAATGGAATAAAGAAATCAAGATAACATTCTTTAGCATCAAGTGTTTCCAGAAATGTTACAAACAAATTGTTTTCCTTTGAATCACAATCTATTTCTTAACAGGTATTTGTCAAGTTTCATTGCATCAAATTTTGACAATGTCATATCAGAATATTTGTTTATTACTAACAAATGTAATGTTCTCATTAAACCATTGTATATTAATATAAAATATATCACAGTATGAATATATCATGGCTGTCTATTGTAAAACATTTTAAGACAAAATATCACAGAAAAAAACAAACTTCACATAACTCTATCAACCAACATCACACTGGTCTTTGCATACATTTTATTATCACAGAAAGTGTAGTTCAACATTTCCCTATAAAATGCATAAATATGAGAATTTTTCCTATATCAACTGGCAAGGTCAGATGTCAGGGTCACTGCACAGAAGGTCAAAGTGTTGGACATTCTTGATGCAGCTGTTTTATCTGTTCCTCCTCACTTGTTTTCTTCCTGGGGTCAAACAGGTCCCAGATTCTTATACTACCATCATCACTACAGCTGACCATACGATCTCCAGTAACCTGCAAATATAGGTCAAGGTCATTAAATGGTATATTATAATTACGTCAAATCTTCCTGGGCTCAAACTGAGCCCAGATTCTTATACTGCCATCATCACTACAGCTGACCATACATACAATCTTCGGTAACCTGCAAATATAGGTCAAGGTCAAACCTGCAAATATAGGTCAAGGTCATTCAACTGTATATTAGAATTAGGTCAAACCTTAAGGTCAGAACTCTGATCTCAAAATCAAGTTGCTTTGACACAAAATGAAAGTTTCACCCACTGCCAAAGAGACCAAATTTATATGTTCACAAGAACCCTCATTCAAACTTATTCTAGACTTGGTGAAAGTAAACAATCTGAAACAATAAAGATAACAATAAGCTAATAATATAACTGAAGATAAGATAAAGCTACAAACAGCATCATGGTAGCTGAACTTCCCTGTGTATTCTCACAGACAGCTAGAAAACATTAGTTCATAACTATAAAATTCTCTCCTGCATTCGTAAAGGGGGGAATAAAAGTTAAAAGTTTAAAAATTCATCATTTTTTTAAAAAGAATAACGAAGATCATGTTTGTCACAAACACCTGGGTATATTGTATGACAGAATGGTTTGTTGAGGAATAAGAAATGTAGTAAGAGTTAAACAAGCTCATTATTCATGTAAAGATTATCACAAAAACATTGTCATATCAGACAAAAAAATCAGATATTTATTAAAACAGCCATCAAAGGTAATAAATCAAAAAAGGTTCCATATGTTTCAGTAAAATGATTTTTATCTTATCCAAATTCCTAAAAGGTGATCCTTTTTTTCATCTTTTTATTTGCTATTATAATTTAAATCAATTTCATACTTTATCAGCATTTACCAACTGTTTGTTTTTTTATTACTGGTTGGAGAGATAACTCCGACGCATAGATAACCCCGACACTTGATAAATATAATTGTTTTAGCTTTGTTTTTCAACAAATAAGCACATGCTCACCTAACAGTATAGGAACAGGACAGAATGTGATGATTTGTTATAATTTGGTAGACTTTTAATGTTTTTCAAATAACCTAAACTTTTTGTAGGCAAAAACTGCTTCAAAATGTTCTTTTTACTAAATTACAGTAAGGTAGTTAGAAGTGTATTGACCACAGGCCACTGACTTGGGAAAGATTTTTGAAAAATTGTTTAAATATTTACAAAAAATAGATAAACCATATAAGATGTAAAAATAAATTATTGATGCTGATTTTCCAGTCATTTTTTACTTAAAAATTTAAGTGTCGACTTTATCTACTGTTGTGGTGTAAAAAGACCATGTTTTGTATACCTCATTCAAGACCTTAAAGAAGTACCAGATTCCATTTTCATACATAGTTTTTGTGGTGTAATGTAAAGTCTTTGAACTGAACTTTGTTTAGGTGGTTCAATATTTAAAATATACTGGAAGATAATTAAAATATTGCAAAAAATATGTGATTTAGTGTCGGAGTTATCTCTCCAACCAGTAATTTATTTGTGTTAAATTTGAAATGATGCTTAATATTGTAGATATAATTACCTAAAATGGACTTGTCCATCATTCAGTCTGGACAAAAACTTTCATCATTTTTAAGGAAAAAATTAAAATACAAAGTACCTACAGACTGAAAAGGGAACAGTGCAGACCATGATCAGATTACACAGATGTGCCTGCTGATCTTGGTATGCACTGGTTGCATGGGCATATTCCGTTGTGGCTAATAGGCTAAGGGTGTAATATATTAAACATAAGAAAGACAGTATGGTTATTTTAATTGAAAATAAGCCATGTCATGTGGCAAAATATGCCATGTCAAGTGGTAAAATATGCCATGTCATGTGGTAAAATATGCCATTAAGCCATGTCATGTGGTAAAATAAGCCATGTCAAGTGGTAAAATAAGCCATGTCATGTGGTAAAATAAGCCATGTCATGTGGTAAAACATCATGTGAAAATTATAGACCAAATCATACAACTGCTACATATTATATTATATATACTGAATAATAAGTGATGAACTTAATAAAGAAGTACATGATTTTGCATACCCAGGTACCTTAGGTGGCGAAGTTTGCAATCTGGGCCTAAAAATTATGAGGTCACTTTTAAGGTATCAATAGGAGCATAAATGCATCAAAATCTGAAGAAAAAACTACTGTAAATACTTCATTTCTTCATGCATTTGTACCAGCATGACCTTTCCAGACACAATACCCTCACTTCCTGTACACTGAACCAATGTATTCCATCTTTCTTTCTCTTTTTTTGTATAATATATTATGTGAGAGTGATTGTCAACCATATAAATTCTGTAAAGATCAATCTAAATGCTGGTTCTGCCCAGATTTTGATGAAAACTTGTACAAAATTTTATTGCCATAATTTTGCTCCTTTCACTAAGTTTCATTCACCAGAATTGGGTGACTGATAGATCATTAAGTAGTAAATGTCAAGTACTATATTATACACCAATCTATTCTACTGGTAGTCGTTCAAGATAATAATGAGTTTGTTGATAAATTAGTTTTTTCTCCTCTCTCTCTCTTTATTTCTGGGAATTCTTCGTTTTATTTTCTTAATAATTGAGCTACACTGTATGTTATACTGGCAAGAAAAACATCAGTCTTTCACTACGTATGGAACTATCATTTAAATAACAGTTAATTTAAGATCATATAAAATAAAGCTTTTCTATATACATAATATCATATATTTGAATTAAAACTATATCCTTAAAAATGTCTGTTGAATAGCTAAAAATGAAGTTATATCTTATATCCAAATAGTTATCAAACTGACAAAAGAGAATAAAAAAAAAAAATATACTACTTGTTTAGGAATTGAAGAGAGGGGAGGCTAGGGCAGGGCAGGGAGAGAGGACAGGGGAGGGGGAGGAGGCGGAAGTGGAAAACCAGGAAGATAGTAAAATGATGTAAGACTCCGACATTTACAATTGTTGAAACAAGAGCTGTCGGTAGGACAGCACGCTCGACTATTCTAAGTGCTTGATGGTAAAAGAGCCTTAATAATGTAAACAAGAGCTGTCGGTAGGACAGCATGCTCGACTATTCTTAGTGCTTGATAGTAAAAAAAATGCCTGATACAGTTACCTCCTCCTGTTTACAGGTTGGGGTCATGATGGTGAACAAGTGTGCAAAGTTTCAAAGCCATATGTCAATGGACTTTGAAAATATTTAAACTATTACAAAAACTTTAACGTAAATTCTAAGTCGAAAAAGGGGCATAATTCTGTCAAAATGCTTGATAGAGTTACCTCCTCCTGTTTACCGGTTGGGGTCATGATGTTGAACAAGTGTGCAAAGTTTCAAAGCCATATGTCAATGGACTTTGAAAATATTTGAACTATTACAAAAACTTTAACGTAAATTCTAAGTCGAAAAAGGGGCATAATTCTGTCAAAATGCTTAATAGAGTTACCTCCTGCTGTCTACAGGTTGGGGTCATGATGTTGAACAAGTGTGCAAAGTTTCAAAGCCATATGTCTATGGACTTTGAAAATATTTGAACTATTACAAAAACTTTAACGTAAATTCTAAGTCGAAAAAGGGGCATAATTCTGTCAAAATGCTTGATAGAGTTACCTCCTCCTGTCTACAGGTTGGGGTCATGATGGTGAACAAGTGTGCAAAGTTTCAAAGCCATATGTCAATGGACTTTGAAAATATTTGAACTATTACAAAAACTTTAACGTAAATTCTAAGTCGAAAAAGGGGCATAATTCTGTCAAAATGCTTGATAGAGTTACCTCCTCCTGTCTACAGGTTGGGGTCATGATGGTGAACAAGTGTGCAAAGTTTCAAAGCCATATGTCAATGGACTTTGAAAATATTTGAACTATTACAAAAACTTTAACGTAAATTCTAAGTCGAAAAAGGGGCATAATTCTGTCAAAATGCTTGATAGAGTTACCTCCTCCTGTCTACAGGTTGGGGTCATGATGGTGAACAAGTGTGCAAAGTTTCAAAGCCATATGTCAATGGACTTTGAAAATATTTGAACTATTACAAAAACTTTAACATAAGTGGTTACGCCGACGCTCGGGTGACTGCAATAGCTCTACTTATTCTTATCGAATAGTCGAGCTAAAAATAGCAGCTTATACCCTTTACACTGTTAATTCTGCATAATAGACTTGATTTTATTTAAATATGTAACTGTATTTTCCTAATGAATGGAGTCATACATGCCATAATAAGAGGTTAATACACGGCAGGAGAGAGCCGGAAGGCGATAATCGGCCCGCAAAATGAATAATGGACCCGAGGGCTTTAGCCCGAGGGCCATTATTCATTCAGGGCCGATTATCACCTCCCGGCCCTACTCTGACGTGTATTTATGTCTTTAATACACTTGGTAGATCTAAAAGTAGCATTTAAAAAAATACAACAACAAAGTTCTTTCGTTGAAATTCTTGTCTACTCTTCTACTGTTCTGTCCAGAGATGTTTACTGTTTGTGTGTTCAAAGCAGTAGAATCTAGAAGCAAGTTTTATTTTCCTTTTTTTTCCGAATGGATTTGTCGTATAATTTCTTCAAATTTCAATAGTAACAAAAATGTGTTTGTACTAAATACGCTTAAGCTCTCATAATAAAAATAAAGCAATTCTTGCTGACAACCTACTTTCACTTTTACAGTTAACTGTTTGATGACGTAAAATATGACGTCATTGTTTCAGTTTGTGCACGTGCACATGTTCTGCGGGCTGATAACTAGTTCTCGGCCCCGGGCCGCAAACTCATAATAGGTCACGTGACACTCATAATCAGTTGAAATCATAGGCATTTTTGATACTATATATAGTAACAAGTGTATTAATGTCCCATACGTCCGGGACTGTCCCAGAAATAAGGTATCTGTCCCGGAGCTCATTTATATCATTCATTGAAGTCTTGATATGTGAAAATGTTTAAGTTAAGGAGCCTGTTTGTGCAGAGTGACTCATCTCTTTACAAGTGACTAGGTAAAACATTATTTCTAAAGGCATTTTACCAGTCAAAATATTGCCCATTTCAACTTGTGATGACCAAAAAAAAGAAAGAAAAAAAATTGAAATATAACCCTGGTATATTATTACCCTTAAGTGACCTGTATTGTCTGTCACCCAGCATTATCGTGTGATGAATCTACAGTAGGATAGTTTAGGTCACAAATGATAATTGACAGCCAATTTAAAAATACAATACCACACTTCCATCTGAACTTATCACACAGATGAACATTTGAACTTTATCAAAAGTCATTTTAAATGATTCTCATTTTTTCATATATTAAAAAAAAACATACTAAAGATGTTCTGTTTTTTGAATGGTCAGCTTCAAATTTGAAGGGACTATTTTGTACGGCATTTTGTATGAATGTGACTGACAAAGTATAACTGTCAGACAAATTGTTAGATTCAAAAAAGCAGAAAATGTACTTGTTATTGGCATTTCAGTAATTGTCTTGCCTTTTACCTCTAAGATCTAAACTTGCTACAATCATTCATTAGTGTGTGAGGAAAACAGAAGAAAACCACTTTCTTATTTCTAAAACATTTTCAACTGTAAAAAACATATAGTCATATTGCGTAACTCTTGGTGTAAATCAATTTAAGCTGCGTATGTGTTATAAAGTAACTGTAGATCTGGATATAGAATTACTCGCAGGTCTATAAGGTCCCTCATAAAAACATGCAACAAACAATGCCTGGGAAACTCAATATGCTTATACAGTCTAAAATAGCAGGTACACCTTTACAGAAACGAATATATCCAATGTTTCAGATTGAATTACAACACCCCCTACCATGACATTTAAATATGGACGATTAAGGCATGATTAACTACTTTAAAACTGCTAAATACCTGTAATACAGGTGCAAGCTCATTTGAATTCTAGTGAAACATAAGTCAAAACTTCATTTCTTCCGAATCTATTTGTTCAAGCCTCTCTGTTAATGACAATATGACGTGGAACGAGAAGCGAACCTAGTTTAAGTAGCATACCTACGTTAATTTAGTTAAAAATTCCATTCAGAACTAGAGAGTAATTTTATAATGATAAATGAAACTACTTAAAATTCATGTGAAAATAACTACATTATGGCAATATGTAGTAATATTTCAAAATTATTTTGACTAAAGGTACATTCAGCATTAGACGTATTTAACGTACCTCGTTAACTAATCGCAGGAAACAACCACCTGTATGACTCAACGGAACCAATTAATTTCCTTTTTTCATCTTTTCTTTTTTTTGTTAGAAGAATTCTATTGAGAATAATCTGATTAAATACCATGAAGTAAAACATTAGCACAAAATGAAAGTTTTTTTCAACAGTTTTGTACACAAGCAAGAAGAAAACTTACTTTTAACACTTTTGTACAAAAGCTAAATAAAGAAAACTTTTACAGTTTTGTACAAAAACTAAATAAAGAAAACTTTTACAGTTTTGTACACAAACTAAATAAAGAAAACTTTTACAGTTTTGTACAAAAACTAAATGAAGAAAACTTTTACAGTTTTGTACACAAACTAAATGAAGAAAACTTTTACAGTTTTGTACACAAACTAAATAAAGAAAACTTTTACAGTTTTGTACACAAACTAAATAAAGAAAACTTTTACAGTTTTGTACAAAAACTAAATGAAGAAAACTTTTACAGTTTTGTACAAAAACTAAATAAAGAAAACTTTTACAGTTTTGTACACAAACTAAATGAAGAAAACTTTTACAATTTTGTACACAAACTAAATCAAAAAGCAAAAACAGATAATTTACTTAAACAGTATAGAGCAGGAAACATACTCTTAACACTTATGTACACAAAGCAAATAAAGGTACCTGAAGCAAATCAGTTGAAAAAGGTACTAGAACAGTTTTGTACACAAGCAAAAAAAAGCTTTCTACAGCTGCTTTGTATCAGAAGAAAACTATACTGTAACAGTTGTGTATACCAGAAAGCTTAATTGCACAATATTGTACACAAGCCAGAAGAAAACTTACTTTATCAGTTTTGTTTACTAAAGTTGACAAAAAAACTGTTACAACTTTGTGTACAAAGCAGTAAAAGAAAACTTACTTTAGCAGTTTTGTACACAAATTTAACATTGTGCAATTTTGTACACAATGATAACATTGTGTAGTTTTGTACACAAATATAACATTGTGTAGTTTTGTACACAAAGATAACATTGTGCAGTTTTGTACACAAAGATGACATTGTGCTGTTTTATACACCAAGATAACACTGTGTAGTTTTGTACACAAAGATGACATTGTGCTGTTTTATACACAAAGATAACATTGTGTAGTTTTGTACATAAAGATGACATTGTGCTGTTTTATACACAAAGATAACACTGTGTAGTTTTGTACACAAAGATAACATTGTAAAGTTTTGTACACAAAGATAACATTGTGTAGTTTTGTACAAAAGCAAGATGAAGAAAATCTTGAGCAGTTTTGTACACAAGAAAGATTAAGAAGAAAACTTCCTTCACTAAGCAATCTTTTTTTTTAACTTTCTTAGCAGTTTAAATGTATGAATGTTAGAGAAAATAACATTATCTTGAATTATTTGATAAGGAAAACTGTGTCCCATAAAAGTACCTATAAGATAAGATGGTTCCTATATTTGAATATTAAAATTTTGAAGTTAAAAGTTTTACTAATCTGATCGGGCATATCTTTTTATTCTTGACAACATTATTATACTCATATTTAAACTTAGGATTTCTTTACATTAAAAATTCACTAGTAACTTAAGTTATCTCATAAATGCGGGTATTGTTTTTGGCCATACACACTGGTAGCATGCCTACATCATTATTGATAGACCAGTATATATAGACAGACTATATGATTTGTATTGAAGTATGAAGTACATATGTTTACATATTTATAAAATGATGAACATACATATATCATGCCTCTGTCTGAGCCTTAGCACTGACATCTAGTGGGTGTTTATAGCTTTTACTGGAGAATTCTAAAGGTGTCAAAATTATTATTTTTGTTTTCTTTTCACATTCCAACTTTGATTTTGATTTACATGTCAATGATGGCTGGGTTTTTTTAAATGGCAAATTCTTATAACATGTCTTATGTTTATCTAGAGGTTATTATTTTAACTACATAGGTGTCCCTTGATTTACCATCTTGATAAAATCAAGAGCCATTACTCACAGGGTAACAACATATTTCTTTAAAATCATCTACAGGTATGGGATAAATACCATTACTTAAAGGCCCTTCACTGCCTTCAGTAGATTTGCAGAAAAATTACAAACAGTTCTTTGATAGTGTGACAAAAGCCCTAAACTTTCCCAAACAAATAATGTTCTAACATTTCACTAAATTTCAATTTAAACAAAGAAAGAAAAGAAGTTCATTAATATTGGCCACTTAACTTTGAAACATTCAATGTATAAAGATTCCTTTTATGTAAAAATGAGTTATTGCCCTTGGATTTTATTAATAACTTTTTCAAAGTTTTTTTTTTGCTAGTTATTGTGTTCCGAAGCACTAAAAATCTAAGAATATAACATAGCTATTTATATAAATACTGCATTTTATGATACACATGTACTTTGTACTATACAACAATAATGATTACTAATTTGTAGACATTCTACTTATTAACAGACAAAAATATCACCTTCCATTTCAGGTAATTAAATATTTTACACCTCTTACCTTGTTTTTTAAGACTTCTTAATCATTCCTTTATTCATAGTAAGACAAAAAAAGTGTAAAGAAACAAGGAGGTGGGGTCAAGGTCAAAGTAAAGGAGATTCACGTATCAGCTGTGTGTATTTCTGTCCACCTTTGGTTTAAAGACTTCCAAAAGTTTCTCATATTATACCACACTTAGAGGACATTCAATCTTACCCACTCTGTTCAACTTAACAAATTTGGAATGAAGTTAAATGATTTCAAGACCCGAAACTGACAAGATCCTACCCTTGTCACAAATGGTAATTTACGATCCATATACAATATGATTTTAGAACACTACCAATATTGTAAAATGGTATTTCTGTCCAACAAATGAGCTTTTATCTGAGATATATTTCACCTGGGTATACCACAACCTGTCATGTGATACAAAGTAAGGTTGAATTTCAAGAAGGATCAAAAGTCGTCTTTGATCTGGTGTCGAGTGTATGATAAAGTAAGTAAGATATATAGGAAATCTTGATGCCACTGCAGGGGGCTTACACTGTCAACGGCCTTGTTTAAAACCTATTACATGTTATGCAAAAATACACTTTTTTTAAAATTAATATATGGGTATTAAAAATTATTACCCACAAATATTTTCATTTTTTTCTTCTTCTAGTGCTAAAACTTTACATAAATCATCATTTAAGGGTTAACAAGCTGTCAAAACATAGAGACATGATTCTTTAAACTTTTATACTGTCTCATTTTTTTAATCCACTTTTCCAGATAGTTAGTTTATGTACATTATTATGTTCAAATGAATTGTCCTTCAGTATAGTCAGGTCAGACTGCACTATCATTCTGGTTGGTCAGACTATACTAGTAGCAAAGGAAAATAATTATCTCCCCTGAATATCAGAAAAAACTTCTACTAACCTTAAGGTCTTTGACTGGCCCCTTGTGCCCTTGTAGAAGTCTAACACTTGTCATTGTAACCAGGTCCCATTCCCTAATTGTTCCATCACTGAAATGAATAAAGACATTAAAGATAAACATTTAATTCATTATTCTATATAATCATTAGAACATTTATATTAATTTAAACATAATGTTTAAAGTCTTATACATGTATAAAGGATTTGAAATATTTTCAGGTAATATTCTGTGTACCATATTTTATTCAGTTGCGCATTGATCGCAATGGAATTTGGCTGAGTGATCTTAAACTGCATAATTTATAACATATTTCTACATTGTTTCTTAACAATTTGTCCAGTTACCCTCAGCCTGCTGAATTTCTTCAATAAACTTATCCACCATCCTTTGGAAATGTCCATTTTGGGGAACATCAAAATGAAAATTTAAAGTAAGAATGCCAACAGTATTGGTCACACTGCAAGGATCAATTTTGGCTCCAGAAGGTCAGAAAATAGAGAAACATAAGTCAAGCATCTAATTGTCAATGTCTAATTTTAAGTAATTTTAAGACATAAAATGCTGGTGAATAATTTGACCCATCATGCCAAATAAATTAATGCATCGTAATATTTTTTAAACAATAAATTTCTAGCATGACTCAAACTTAGTATTTCCTTAATTTTATATGAAATATAACCTTTAAACTTTTTCACTTTTGGACTTTTAACATATCAATGTGTCAGAGTTTGTTTTTTTTCTTGTTTTTGTGTTGTTTTTCTGTGAAATGTCAACATTCAAAAGAACTGTTTCAAGAAAGACAGTAAAATTTTAAATTAGAAATACAGAAAGAAAAAAAAACATTTAAAAGACAAATATGCACTATCAGGTTTCTACTGGATTAAACAATATATAATTTTTGACCTTTAACTTTGACAGTCAAAACAATCTTCACTTTTAACATTTTTTTCAGTTATTAAATTAAACACTTCATAAAAACTGAAAAATATAATTTAGTAGTGATTACATGAAGTCTAAGTGAAGAATAACAAATTATTGTCTTTTCATAAGAGGAGATTTATGAATTTAGTGAGTTTTAATTCTAATTCTAAAGGTATTAATTTTTAAATAATTTGAAATTTATAGAATAAGTCATGAGTTTATATAATTTGGGGCCTCAGTGGTCACTAAAACTTTACAGAGTCAATATCATTTAAACACAACACAAAATAATAAAAAGTTACCATTTTTCAGGGTTATACAATATATAGAAGACCCTAGGATGTGCCTTAAATAAATCTGAGTAAAGGGAAGGTGGTTTGAAGACAGCGCCTTACAAAAGTTCCCAATAGAATTGTTATATCTAATGATGATGATTTCTTAATCTAAACAATCAAATAAATGAATAATGACAATGTCCTACATTTTCCTAGCATATTAACATATAATAATAATAGTAATAATAATAAAAATAATAGTAATAATAATAATAATAATAATAATAATAACTATAATGATAATAAATAATAAATAAAAAAAACGAATACAATTAATAACCTCCATACAATAAGAAACTTATTAACTTATATACAACCAAACAAAATCAACCACATTTCTTTCCTTTTTTCCATTCTTTCATGTTTATTTAATTAATAAATAAATTGAATCCTAGTATAACATAGTCAGGTAATCAGAGAAAACATATATCCATATATCTATATCATTTAGAAAACAATGGAATTCTTTAATGAAGATGGCTTCTTATCTAGTGGCCTTCTTTCAACAGGTTCATCTGTATCACTTATTATCATCTTTTAATGTCCTCTTTGTTAAACATAATCAGAAATACACTTTATATAGTTTTTATTGGCCTCTTACTGTAATTTATGTTTTAACAAGTAATTTTGCACCTTAGATGTTAATACTATATTGCTTATCTTTGCACAGCATTTCGCCTCTTTGGCTTATTTCACTTATAGTTAAATTTGACATGTTTAGAACACATGTTAGTGTTTTTTTCACCATGATGAAATATGTTCCCCATATGTTCTGCCTGTAAATAACCAATAAAACACCAAGTGGTGTATGTTCATTCTAATTATAACTGAAATTATTACCAACCTTCAGTATGTAAAATACTTTTAATTAGTAGAAATTAATTGCATAATTAGTAAAACTGGAATCTATCATTTGTTGTTGCCAGTAGGCGGTACTTATAATCAAATAACAAGATAATAGAAGAAAATAACACCACAGTTGTGATGAAGTTATATTTCCTTGTAATAGTTTTGAACTTTCTTTAAGAACCCTTTAACTCATACACAATAAATGTTACTAAAATAGAATTATTACGAATAACCATTATAGAAATATATTATTTTGACCTGAAAAAAAGGTACTGATAGATTTCAACAAACAGTTCAATCAATATCTTTTTAAGTATGTTTGATATAAAAATGCTTAAATGTAAAAATTGGGGAGTAGTGCTTGATTTCAGAGATGAAGAAATATAAGGATTGGTGAGTAGCGTTTGATTTCAAAGATGAAGAAAATGTAACAATTGGTGAGTAGTGCTTGATTTCAGATATGGAGAAATGTAACAATTGGAGAGTAGTGCTTGATTTCAGATATGGAGAAATGTAACAATTGGTGAGTAGTGCTTGATTTCAGATATGGAGAAATGTAACAATTGGTGAGTAGTGCTTGATTTCAGATATGGAGAAATGTAACAATTGGTGAGTAGTGCTTGATTTCAGAGATGGAGAAATGTAACAATTGGTGAGTAGTGCTTGATTTCAGAGATGAAGAAATGTAACAATTGTTGAGCAGTGTTTGATTTCAGAGATGAAGAAATGTAACAATTGTTGAGCAGTGTTTGATTTCAGAGATAAAGAAATGTAACAATTGGTGAGTAGTGTTTGATTTCAGAGATGGAGAAATGTAACAATTGGTGAGTAGTGCTTGATTTCAGAGATGGAGAAATGTAACAATTGGTGAGTAGTGCTTGATTTCAGAGATGGAGAAATGTAACAATTGGTGAGTAGTGCTTGATTTCAGAGATGAAGAAATGTAACAATTGGTGAGTAGCCTTTGATTTCAGAGATGGAGAAATGTAACAATTGGTGAGAAGTGCTTGATTTCAGAGATGGAGAAATGTAACAATTGGTGAGTAGTGGCTTTGATTTCAGAGATGGAAATGTAACTATTGTTGAGTAGTGTTTGATTTCAGAGATTGAAGAAATGTAACAAGTGGTGAGTAGTGCTTGAGTTCAGATATGGAGAAATGTAACAATTGGTGAGTAGTGCTTTGATTTCAGATATGGAGAAATGTTATAATTGTTGCGCAGTGTTTGATTTCAGAGATAAAGAAATGTAACAATTGGTGAGTAGTCTTTGATTTCAGAGATGGAAAAATGTAACAATTGTGGTGCAGTGCTTGATTTCAGATATGGAGAAATGTAACAATTGGTGAGTAGTGCTTGATTTCAGATATGGAGAAATGTAACATTTGATGAGTAGTGCTTAATTTCAGATATGGAGAAATGTAACAATTGGTGAATAGTGTTTGATTTTAGAGATGGAGCAATGTAACAATTGGTGAATAGTGTTTGATTTCAGATATGGAGAAATGTAACAATTGGTGATTAGTGCTTGATTTCAAAGATGAAGAAATGTAACCATTGTTGAGTAGTGTTTGATTTCAGAGATAGAGAAATGTAACAATTGTTCAGTAGTGCTTGATTTCAGAGATGAAGAAATGTAACAATTGGTGAGTAGTGCTTGATTTCAGAGATGAAGAAATGTAACAATTGGTGAGTAGTGCTTGATTTCATAGATGAAGAAAATGTAACAATTGGTAAATAGTGTTTGATTTCAGATATGGAGAAATGTAACAATTGGTGAGTAGTGCTTGATTTCAAAGATGAAGAAATGTAACCACTGTTGAGTAGTGTTTGATTTCAGAGATGAAAAATGTAACAATTGTTGAGTAGTGCTTGATTTCAGATATGGAGAAATGTTGCAATTGTTGAGTAGTGCTTGATTTCAGAGATTAAGAAATGTAACAATTGGTGAATAGTGTCTGATTTCAGAGATGAAAACATGTAACAATTGTTGGGTAGTGTTTGATTTCAGTGATGAAGAAATATAACAATTGGTGAGTACTGTTTGATTTCAGATATGGAGAAATGTAACACTTGGTGAGTAGTGCTTGATTTCAGATATTGAGAAATGTAACAATTGGTGAGTAGTGTTTGATTTCAGAGATGAAGAAATGTAACAATTGTTGAGTAGCCTTTGATTTCAGAGATGAAGAAATGTAACTATTGGTGAGTAGTGTTTGATTTCAGAGATGAAGAAATGTAACACTTGTTGAGTAGTGCTTGATTTCAGATATAGGGAAATGTAACAATTGGTGAGTAGTGCTTGATTTCAGAGATGAAGAAATGTAACAATTGTTGAGTAGCCTTTGATTTCAGAAATGAAGAAATGTAACTATTGGTGAGTAGTGTTTGATTTCAGATATGAAGAAATGTAACAATTGTTGAGTAGTGCTTGATTTCAGTTATGGAGAAATGTAACAATTGTTGAGTAGTGTTTGATTTCAGATAAGGAGAAATGTAACAATTGGGGCGTAGTGCTTGATTTCAGAGATGAAAACATGTAACAATTGGTGAGTAATGTTTGATTTCCGAGATGATGAAATGTAACAATTGTTGAAAAGTGCTTGATTTCAGAGATAAAGAAATGTAACAATTGGTGAGTAGTGTTTGATTTCAGTGATGAAAACATGAAACACTTGTTTAGTAGTGTTTGATTTCAGTGATGGTTACATGTAACAATTGTTTGGTAGTGTTTGATTTCAGAGATGATGAAATGTAACAATTGTTAAGTAGTGCTAGCTTTCAGAGATCAAGAAATGTAACAATTATTGAGTAATGCTTGCTTTCAAAGATCGAGAAAAGTAACAATTGGTGAGTAGTGCTTGCTTTCAAAGATCGAGAAATGTAACAATTGTTGAGTAGTGCTTGATTTCAGTGATGAAAAAATGTAACAAGTGGTGAGTAGCGTTTGATTTCAGATATGGAGAAATGTAACAAGTGGTGAGTA